TACCATACTCCCTCTCCCTCCCCAAGCATCACATTTGTCCAGGTTTTCGCACTTTGTCTAAACGATTTCCCTGTTTCTCTACTCTTGGCCTCCAAGAACTGACAGGGGTTTGGAAACTCACTCCACTGTTTACTAAGCAAATGAGTGAACTGCCAAAGCCTCAGTTAACTGATTTATAAAATATTGGGTTAGTAGTTACCTTCAAATGTTGTGAAGATTGAAATAAGAAATAAAATTTCAGTTGTAAACTGTCACAGATGCTCAGTAAATATTTATGAAGTGAATGTTCGTTCCCTTCTTAGCCATCAGTGTATGAATTTGAAGAATTTTTAAAATTACCTAAACTATAAAAAGAGTAGATGTTAATACTTGAAGATTTTTTTAAGTGATTGTGTCTCCTTTGCTATGATCACATTCGAAGTATAAAATTTTTTTGGTCTTGGCCTATTTTCATTTATAGCAGCTGTAGTGACATATAATTCATTACTATAAAATTCACCCTTGAAAATACACCATTCAGTGGTTTTAGTATATTCACAGAATTGTGCAGCTATCACAACTATCTAATTTTAGAAATCCTTCATTACTCCAAAAAGGAAAAAAAAAAAAAAAAGAAATCCCATACCCATTAGTAGTCACTCCCTATTTCTCCCTCACCATAACTCCTGGTAACCCCCTATTTTCTGTCTGTTCTGGCCATTTTATACAAATGGAATCAAACAATGTATGATCTTTTGTGTCTGACTTCTTTCACTTAGCATGTTTTCAGGGTTCATCCATGTTGTAGCATGTATTAGAACTTCATTGCTTCTTGTGGCTGAATAATGTTCCATGGTATGGATGGCCCACATTTTGTTTATCCATTCATCACTTGGTAGACAGCTGGGTTGTTTCCACTTTGGGGCTATTATGAAAAATGCTTCTGTGAACTTGTATTTGAGTACAAGTTTTTATATGGATGTATGTTTTCCGTTCTTTTAAGTATACACCTAGGAGTTTAATCTTTGGTAGATAAAGCAAAGAATTTTCATTTCAAAGCAAAGAATTCTCATGATGAGAGAACTTAGGGTTCTTATTGGGGAAATTTGGAGTATTGGTTTTTTTTTTTTTTTTTTAAAGATTTTATGTATGTATTTGAGAGAGAGACAAAGATAGGGACAGAGAGCACAAGCAGGGAGGAGAGGGAGAAGCAGGCTCCTCCCTGACCCCAGAGATCATAACCTGAGCTGAAGTCAGACACTTAACCAGCTGAGCCACTCTGGTGCCCCCAGGATATTATTTTCTATATTGGCTCCTTAAGATTGAAGTTTTTTATATTTTGCTTCACAGAGCACTATGTTCCTTGAAGTGCTTGACTTGTCATAGAAACCATCAAAAAATCAAGTCTTTTCCAAAAGTTTGCCCCCAACATAATGAAGAATACTTTGTATTAGCATAAGGTAACAAAGTAACTGCTTTATTTAGTAAATCTTCCTTTATTCTCACCAAAACATTTATTTGCATTCACTTTACATACAAAGTACACCACAGGAATCAGAAGGGGAAAACCCCCTGTAAAGGCATGCAAATTCAGGAAAAGTGAGATTAATATGAACTCATTTCCAGATGTATCCTGTCTTCTGCTCTAGAGCATAAGCTTATACAGGGTAGGAATGTTTCCTGTTCTCGGAGCTATCTCCCTTCCCATCCCAAACTGAACTGAAAGGGAAAAGAGAGGTCTGGAATAAGGTCTCCATTCAGTTTAGGACCAGGCTTTAAGCACTGCATTTACCTTTACAGAAAACTGGAAAGGGAAAAATATCTTTGAAATGGAACTCGCCATTGAGCATCATATGGTCAGTCACACAAAGGTCACTAATCATTCTTTTTCTTGTTTTTCAGTGAACGAGATAATTGGGAGAGACATGTCTCAGATTTCTGTTTCCCAAGGAACAGGGGTGAGCAGGCAGGCTCCCCTTCCAGGCCCTGATTCCCTGGATATAGGAAGATCCGATGGCCTCTGACAGAGTTCACTGCAGCCATGTGTCCACCACCACGTACTTCTCAGCATGTTTCTCTCCTTGGACCTTGGGTTTCCAACTCTGTGGCCTTCAGGACTGGCACCGGGAGTTGGGGTCACTGTATGTGGGGAAAGCAGCATTCCTCCACCTCAGGCCTTGGGTAGATTTTGTAAAAGAACAGGAGCAGCATAGACTGAGCTTTGGGGAAATAAGCTTTGCTTTTTATATTTAAATAGGATACTTTTATATGATGGGTGCTTTGAGTGTGAATGCAGCAGGCTCTCCATTTCAGAGCTGCTGCTTTTGCAAGTGACCTGGTTGCTTAGCTATGATTGGTGATTTTACTCCTTTATGGTCATTTGAAGGACTCTTTAGCTTTGATGATATTTTTAAAGTAGGAACTTTTGATAAAACCTTCCAGAGGCAGACAAAGAAAAAAAAAATTCTCCTAAGCCCACACCTATGCCTCAGAAACTCAGCATGTCCTAAAGCCTTTCATAGATTTATAGGAAATAAAGCCAAATGTAGCTCATACCTCTTTATAAAAATAAACTGTTAGAGAAGAGACCATTCCAATCATTGACGTGTTGGAATATAAAACGACATTCCAGAGCATAGCCTTTTTGTAACGTTCTAGGTAATCTTCCTGCAATCTCTCCATACTGACGCCATGTTGAAATTGCTTTTTTTCCCTGAGGGCCTTGGGTAAGATAGCTCCATGTAAGGTGACTTTGAAAGGTGGGCTTTTTAGCTTCCTAGCTTTAATATCCTGCCATCCTGCAAACAAGTAGGCTGTGGAGTGCTTTTCCCTTTTGTGTCCTCTGTCCCAGACCTTTTCTAACTGGGAGTATCTGCATTTGGCTGCTCTATAACCTTGAAGCCACAGCCTCATGATGGTTTAGGCAAATTTGCCGGTCCTAACTCCTTTCCAGAGGCCAGGCTGTGTCAGAAGCTAAGCATAAATGAGCTATGTGTCAGAAGAAGAGCAGAGAAAATGCAGGACTCCAGAAGGGAAGCTTCTAAGATTCGCAGTGGAATGGAATGCTTATCCCTCGTTCTGTTTACAGCCTAAAATGATTCTGGCCTAGCCTCCTCCCATCGACATGGCCCCAAAAAACCAGCCTTTTCCCCAAAAGGCTTCAACGCAAACCCAGATATGAGGTAGCATCACAGACCTGACCCTCCACACCAAAGATGCCCCGGTGCTGCTGCTGGTGAGGCTGGTGCCCAGGGCAGGGGCCAGCAAGAACCTCCAGCCTGCTGTCTACCAAAGGAGGTGCCCGAGTTGGGTGCTTTTTCCAAACCCTGCCCTTCCTCCTCCCTTTAATGGGATTAGTACCTATTCCAAGGCTGGGCCCATTTCAAAGCACCTGAAGTTTGCAGTATGTTTTCCAACAAAATCATGTAATTTCATTTATTCAGGAAGGATTTTTTTTTTTTTTTTTTTTTGAGTGCCTATATGTGTGACAGTGTGCTGAGCTGGTCAAGGGCTTGATGTTTTTACTCCAGGGAATTAGGAGTCCTAGATGCCAGGACTCTCCATTGAGGCCAAGTAAGGCCTCCACAGGGGGAGCCAGCGGCTCATTGCCCACCTCCTCTAGTCAGCCAGGTAGGAGCCGTTGGCCTCCTGCAGGATAAAGTATGGTTTTTTTTTTTTTCCCCTTCAAACCATGATTTAGTTTTCCCCTAAACCTAGTTAGAGAAAAATGTCTATCCTTCAGCAAATCACTCTGGTCCCTCCTGGAGCTGGGTGTTTTCACATTTTTCTTTAAAAGTTTTATGTCACAATGTGGATAGTGAGATTTGCTTCAGGGCCTGTAGTTGGCAGCCCACAGCTTCCTTTGGAGGGGTTTTAAGAGGCAGCCCCTGATAGGAAGTTCCAGACAGCTGGCTGGACTTGCCTCCACCCTCTTGCCCCTAGGGTAACCGTCTCACATGGGGTTACTGCAAGTTTCCCTTGCAGGACCCTCTGGGGGTTGCTCTGCTGCCCTCAGGAGTAAAAGCCTCTATGATCCAGAGTTGCTATGCACCAAATTCTGATGCCTTTTAAATACCTTGATGCCTGTAGCACTAGAAATGCTTTCTTATTTAAAATAAAAGTTGAATTTTAAAAGAGCTTTGTATACTATGTAAGCAGTCTTGTATCATTTTTTTAAGTCTTTGGCTTAAGAATCAGTATTTTTTGGCTTTGCAGGTAACGACGAAACTTCTGTGCAACGTAGTGGTGCTAAGGCGCAGTTGTTGGACTGTGCGAACTGGACTTCTAGTAGCAACACTGAGCAACTGGGCAAGTCTTAGCATCTACCCCTGCCCCTTCCAACCTGTGCTACCTCTTCGGTTGAGGAAGGGGATAAGCAGCTTTCTCCTTGCTAGATACTAAGAAACATGGCTGAGAACACCTTGAAAGGGACCAGATGTCCTGTCTTCGGGTTCCCGTGTGGTGTTGTTGCCCAGGGCGAACTACTACCACTGGAGCTCTGCTAGGATCTGGCCATGAAGCCTTTGAGTGGTGGGCCTGTTTTCCTAAAGATTTATTTATTTTGGCGGGAGAGGGAGACCCCCGAGATCACAACCTGAGCCAAAACCGAGAGTTTTGTGCCACCCAGGCACCCCCAGCCTTGAAGCCCTGTTTGTAATATTCAGAACAGATGGTTACCTTCAAGGCTCAGAAGAGTTCAATTGAAACCTTGTATTTTATAAAATGGGCGACGTACAGTTAAGGAATTGGTTCTCTGTTATGTTTACAGCACTTGGGATTGTGTTTTCTTACACATTTTGTACTTTAAAACTGTTTATAGGAGTATAGTGCTCCTTACACAAATAACAAAGGGAAGAGCCAGCAATTCAGGTTCCTCAGTTACAGGGCTGAAATAATAAACGGGGACAGGTTAGCACTGTCCTTGAAATCTACCTGAGTTTTCCTCTCCCTGGGGCAGGTGTGGAGCCCCACACTCGGGAGTCCAAAGCAGCTAAAGGCACTTTGGCTTTTAGAAAGTCCACTTGGTTAGGAACCTTTGTTTATCTTACAGAGGAGTGAGCAGAGTTCCAAATTCCTTCCGAAGCTTCAGTTCTGTACCCTCTAATGGGTGCAAATGACATTCCACGATGTCTGCTGAGTTCAGGACAACTGGCCTGCCCAAGGTGTGCATGAAAAGTAGGCAGAGTCCCCTTTAAAATTCAGGCCTGAGTTTTTGTGTGAAGGCCTCCTGCCCCCTAGCGTTCTCTGGGGATACTGCAGTACAGTCAGTCAAAACAAGTCTGTGATTTTACCACCTGATAGTCCTTATGCCAAGTTGGAGGAGAGCTAGCGTCCTTGGACTCATGGCACAATGTGGCCACTAAGGGTCAAGTATTCCAGGGGCTGGGGCCAGCATTCTCTGCCTCCCTGCCCCCTACCAAAAGGGAAAGGGAAAGCAGAATATTGGGATCTTTACTCAGAAGCTCCCAGGAGTCATACATTGAAGGCACCAGGGCTTACATTTATAAAAAGCAAGCATGCCTGCTGTGGACATCAGCCTCACAGAATCTGGGTACGGACCATGGCCCAACAGACCGAAGGATCTCGTGGTGCTACTTAGAGGCCCAGATCAGGCCACTGGGAGCAGGGTAACACCATTCCACCCCCAGCCCTGCATAGAGGGTCCAGCCGTCATCTTTGGGGTGAACAGGCAGAGCAACAACTGGGAGATGGAGCTGGGGCTTGAGCTCATTCTGGGTGCTGAGAGCTTTGACCAGCCCAGGAAGAAGCCACCTGGTTGAGGGTACTGGTTCTCTGGATGCCAAGAGAGACATGATAGACATTAGCCAGCTCTTACCTCCTGGCTCCCTCACCTACAAACACACCCACTCTTTGGGGGCCTGTAGCACAGTTCGGGGCGGGTCACCAACAGGCATCAAACTGGTGTGGTCATCAGGGGCTAACTGCGGAGGATAAAGAGATTTAGGAGGGAGCTCTAGGCTCAGCCAGTTCCCAAGCCCTCCAGCCACACCTCACCTGATAGGCCTGGAAGACGCTGAGTAGATCCTTCATACCAGCTGTATATGGGACACCCTGCATACGGACCAGGGCTCCTGGCGGGGACAACACTGAGGTGGAAGCAGAGGCCAGGGCAGCAGAGGGTGTGGCGAGGTAGCCCACAGTGGTAGGGGACACTGGGGGGCTAAGACGGAAGAGGCAGGATTTAGGAGTGCAGTCCCATCTATGGCTTAGACCTGCCTCCCTCCCTCTTCCCTTGTCTCTGCCTGTGTTTAGTTCAGTTCCTCCTCCCTAAAACTTCTGTCTCCAGAGTCTTTTCCATTCTCATTTGTAGACGGTATTCTCCAGACCGTACCTGTCACTTCCTTGTCCATCTTAGATGAAGTCCCAGCTCTGACAGACATTGGATTATGTGGCCCAGGAAGGGGATCATGACCCTCCCGCACACCAGAATGGGGGCAAGACTGGAATTTTCTCAGCAGCTGGTACCTGGGGTAGTAAGCTGTGTAGTTCATGTAGAGTTGAGTGGCTGGCCCTGGGTAGTAGGCAACAGGGGTAGGGGCAGCAGGCACCCTGGCAGCCGGGAGCAGTGCTGAAGAGGGATACAAGGCTGCCGTCTCAGCGGGGATGAGTGTTGGGGTGGCCTGGAAGGTGGCGTAGGTAGGTGGTGAGAGGCCTGGAGGCAGAAGCAGAGAGTGCATCTGCAGGGCGCCCAGCACTGCCCTGGGTGAGGCAGCCAGAACAGAGTCCCCACTGCAGAAAGTGAGGCTTACAACAGCTTGGCCCCCACATGCCTCCTTTCCCAGCCCCTGCAACACTCACAGGGCAGCTTGCAGGGTGGAGGGGACATGCCACTGCGGCTCAAGGTGCCCCCCATTAACACACGGCTCATCTCCTCCGTGGAGCAGGGGACCACTTCCACATAGCGTTCCTTCATCACTTTCTTATGGCAACGCTGGGCAGCTGCCAGGGCCCGCTCTGCTGATGTCATCTGGATGAAAGCGTCACCTGAGGGCCGACCCTGTGCACAGGGTCGTCTCATAAACAACCTGTCCCGGCAAGAGTGCCTCGCTCCCAACCACACAGCCCTCCCTGACCGTGTCGGTCGCCCTGCCGGCAGAAGCCTCACCTGCTGGTTGAGCACCATGTGCACCCCGTGGGGCCGGATGTCAGCAGCTGCCTCCCCCAGAAAGCTCAGGATGTCTTCGATGGTAGCTGTATAGGGCAGGCCTCGAAGGCGTACACAATCTCTTCCAATCCCCGCTGCCAGTGGGAAGGGGATGGGGAGCAGGGGAGCGGTGAGTGTGGGAAGGAGTGGGCTGGATGCATAGCGGTTCAGGACCTGGCAAGGAAGGCAGCCACGGGCCCCCGTCAAGCCAGGTGGGACCCGGGGGGGGGGGGGGGGGGCCTGGAGGAGACGCACACGGGAGGAGGGGGAGCCCTGGGCGCTCACCTGCTGCACCTCAGCCGCCGTGCTCCGGAAGAGTTCGATGTATCGCTTACCCAGTATGCCCTTGTGCCTGCGCAGTGCAGCCTGCGCCAGCTCCTCACAGGCGAAGAGGGCAAAGGCATCACCGGTGGGCCGGCCGTCAGGGTGGCGCACAAACAGCAGCCCGTCAGCACCCCCCGTCACCGGGCACTCGGGCCCCAGAAAGCCCAGCACGTCCTCTGGCCCAGCCGAGAAGGGCAGCCCCCGCAGCCGCAGTATCACCTGGTCTTCCCGTGACAGGAAACGAGCCACCTCTAGTGATGTGCCTTGGTGAGAGGCAGGGGAGTCACCCACTGACTTCATCTGTGCCCTTCCAGATACCCACCTTCACGTGGCATGCTGGGAAGGGGGCAGGAAGGTGGGGAGGGGGGCGGTGGTGGGCAAGTGGGACACGGACGGAGAACCAGCAGAGCGAGGTGCTGCTGGGGGCATACTCACCCCCCGCAATCTTCACAAACTCCTCTCCTGTTGCTTTGTATACCTGTGGGGACGGTGGGGACAGCCCGTGGGTCTACAGCCTGGTGGGCCTCAGCTCTGCCCTGCTTTACTCCCAGCCCAAAGCCCCACCTCGATATAGCGGACGCCCATGTGGTGCTTGTGTCTCTGCAGCGCTAGGTCCCGCTGCTCGCTGTCCGCAAAGCAGATGAGGGCCTCGCCATTTCTGCGGCCCTGGGCGTTGAGGCAGAGTGCGACACCACCCCTGCAGAGCCAGTGCAGTGCTGTTAGTGCCTCAGGGGCAGGCCCGCCCTCCTGAGCCCGCCCACCCTGCCGGACCCACCTGGCAATGTTGAGTCCTTTGAAGAACCGAGCCACATCCTGGTCTGACGACTGCCAGGGCAACCCACGGGCCCGAACCACGGTCTCACTGTCCACCACATCGGCCTTGCTGCTGCGGGGGCAGGGCAGAGTCAGAGCCCCGCAGCTCTTGGCGCCCCCACCCCAGCCCCGCCCTCACACTCACCAAGGGCCTGTCTCATATTTCTGCTTTACCACCTCTGCCTTCGAAAACAATTGACCTGAGAGGAGATGGCATGGGGGTCAGCAGGGTCTGGTGGAGGGGGGTCTCCCCACCAAGCTCTGCAAAAAGAGGACAGTTGAGGGGGATAAGCAGGTGACAAAGGAGCTTTCCACCTATGGTCTCTCAAAGAAGCTAACAAGTGGGGATGGGGACTTTGTAGAAGTAAGACGCAGACATCCGCCTCGTCCTGAGAGCAGGTGACAGGTGGTGAGGGAAACCTTACCACTGGGCTCTTCGAGCAGGTGGAGGATGACAGCTACCATTGTCTTCACTTCCCAGACCCCAAAGTCATCCTCTGTGGCATCTGTCTCCAGCCCCAAGTCTATGAGCAGAGAAATAACAATAAGGAAATCCCAACAGAGGGGCAAACGTTTGTTCTGATCCGGCTCATATGTGCCCTTACAAGTCCCCATCCCAGACATATGCAGACATATGTCCCTATTTCAGACGCACTCCAGCACCCACACGGAAGCATGTCTCGTCCAGGACTTGACAGATAATGTAAACTCGTGTGTGTAACCCTTCAGGATGCACATACTCAAACACAGCTTCCCCCCGACCTAACCCTTCCGGGTCGCAGGTACCCTGTGCCATGGTGGCCACGGTGAGCTCCCTGGCAGGACAGGTGCTTGGGTGCTGCACATGGAACTCTCTGCGGAGGTCGTAGAAGGTGAAGAAGGTGTCGGGGAGCACCAGGTTCTGGAGGCACATGGGAGGGGGCATGAGTGGGGGGAACTGAGTGGCCCTGCCCACCCCCATGACAGGGGTCCTAGGAACCCTACCCCTGCTGTGCCCTCAGTGGCATACCTTCCTGGAGGCCTCGGGGTGCAGGACCTGTCTCAGCAGCTGCTGCCCATCAGTGCATAGCATGTAGGGGCCCCCACCTAGCAGAGCCACATCCCCGCTCACCAGCTGTGAGAACTGGGGAGAGGGAGTGGGGAGAGAGACAGACACATGCTCATAGCTAGGCGGGCAGGAGGGAGGGCACAGGCTGCAAAGCAGGTTCAGCTAGATATTCAGCCCTACCCTGCCTGGGGAGGAGTTGGCCACAGGTGTGAGGCCTGGTTCTGTGTCCCTCTTCTCCCCCAGTCCACTGTCACCTTCTCCAAGCCAAATGGGGGCAGACACGTATCACCCAAGCCCCCATCACACACACTCCTGAGAGTCTGGAGTAGGGCCAGAGCAAACACCTGGTGGAGTGGGACAAGCAGGTGGGAAGGGGCGGGGCAAAGCAGGTTAAACCTGTCCCTGACCAGGCACCACCCTCAGACAGGTGGGGGAGGCCCAATCCTCCTGCCTGAGGCCTAGCTGGCTCTTGGTCAATGGCAGCCCCGCCTCTAGGTCTGACCAACCCAGGGCCAGAGAAAATCCAAGGACAGAGCGCCACACCTGGACGCCCTGGGCAGCATGAGCTTTGACCCACACTATCGACCAGCTGGCACCGAGTTGTTTACTCACAGAGGGGGTGGCACTTCTCAAGCTGCCCAGCACCCCCCCTCCCGGCCCCCCAGCCTTCCTCCCTGCTAGAGAACAGTAGAAGTACTAGGCACAGGCCCAGAGCGAGCCAACCCAGTTCGCCTTCAGCGCGCTCCCCAAGTAGGGTCTAGCCTGGGAGCCCTTCTGGAACAGGATCAGGTTCAACATGTTTGTACCTCATCAAGAACCACAGGCGTTGTTGGAAAATGAAAGAATTTGTGCGTGTAAAGCACTTAAACTCATTACACTCAAGAATCAGGCTCAGGGTGAGTGCAACACGGAAGATAAGAAAAAGAAAACAGCAAGGGGAGCCGCCTCCCACTTCAGCCAGGGCTGGGAGGCACCCTGGGCCTTTGCACTCAGGAGACAGGTAGCCTTCAGGCGGGGTCCGGACAGCGCCCACGCCTGGCCAGCCGGCCGGGACAGGCCTAGACGAGCAGCTTACACCTGGCGGCGTCTGCCTCGGAGGCAGACCCCGCCCTACGCCCCCGCTCCAGCGTCTACTAGGCGGGTGGGTGGGCCGACGTCGCCGGCGGCTGGGACCGTGACCTATGGCCGACACCAGGCCCCTCGGCCCTTCTGCCTTCCGACTGCCGTTCCGGGAGACCTGGCCAGGCAGGTTCCCAGAAGCGTCTCACCCCACAGCCCTGCCGGCCCTGGGAGAGGTCTCGCAGTTTCCAGCCCACCGCGTCAGTAGGAGTGAATCCCTGGAAAGGCTGAAAAGGAAGGTGCCCCCAGGAACGGCCGGCACACGCGGGAATCTCTGAAACTTTTAAACAACAGGAACTCGTCCTACCGCCCAGGCCAGTTGGTCGCAGCACGCCAGGCCTTGCCTCCTGCCGCCTCTCCCGCTGAGAAAAGTCCCCGCGGCCCCGCCATGACTCCACTCACCCGGGCCCCAGCACTCACCTGCCGAAGCACCTTGTCCAGCGGCTCCGCCCGCGCCAAGCTCTCTGCGCTCAGGCCGCTCGCCTCGCGGCACTGCGGGCTCAGTGCGGCCGCCTCGGCGCGAACCAATGACTTGTGCAACGTCCCCACCTACGAGCGGCGGGGGGAACCTATCAGCCACTGTTCCCCTCGGATCCTGGGGACCCCACCAACCCCTTCTCACCGTACCTGACGGCTCCGCGGCTCCACCACTTGCCAGACTAAGAGGATCAAGTCGGTCTCATCGGAACCCAGGTCTGGCCCCAGCGCACCGGCCGTGGCTCCGAACAGTACGACCAGGGGTCCGGGCCCGGGGCGGGGGTCGGCGGCAGAGTCTGAGGTGGGGTTCGGGCCCGGGGACCGTGGCTGGGGAGGCGGCGGAGTCATGGCCGCAGAGGAAGGGGGCGCTCGGCCAGACACACGCGGACCGACGAGGCGCACGCACGCACCCGCCGACGGCAGACACGAATCGGCTTGGGCGGGACACCGTGTGTCGGGGGCGGCACCTGCGGCCCGGCTGGCGCAGTGGGCGCTGCTGAGACCCGCCCGCGGCGCCCCGTGGGGCGGGGCGGCTACTGGCCCCCGCCCTCTCCAGGCGAGTTACCTGTCGGCCCCGGGGGCCACGTGACCGAGGGCAGCCGGGGGAACAGAAGGGGAAGGCGGCTAGAACCTAGCCCAGCGCGCGCGCGCTCAGACGCCGGGCCTGGGTATGCGCTCACGGCCCGGCCTCCCATTCCGTCAAAGGGCTTCTTCGCCTGACTGGGTCTCGTTCTACTCTCTGTCCCTCCCCACCATGAGGCCTGCGCCAAGAACAGTGCAAAAACAGTGGCCTTCTGCGGTCCGTAGGGGTTACATGGGATTTGTGAAAATCACCAGGAGGCAGTATAGGGTCTGTGGGGGGGGGGGGGGGTCATGACGGCCGGTCGGGGGGTGACAAGTCACCTAAGAGGGAGGTGAATTACGGGATATCACCCAGAGGCCTGTGCGGGGGTGGTCACCAGAGGCCAAGTGGATTAGGGGTAGGGTTGGGGATCAGCCGAGGTTCTTGGAGCCATGGGAACGGGGGAGTAGAGGTCACGGGGCAGGGCTCGTCCACACACGTGGGAAGACCTGCCCTTAGCCCGCGGTGCCGAACACTAGGTGGTGCGCAGGCCTCGGTGCTGGGGAAGCAGGAAGCGCGCCCGCTCCGACTCCAGAGAGCGCCTCTCCAGACGGGGGTGAGCCTAATGTTCGGGGTTACCCCACGTGGAGACTGCCGCCTGTTTTCGTCGCCCTCCCCTCCTGACCTCTGGAGATGTGAGCGCGCCGGCGGGTGGGGGCTAGTGGAGAAGGTGTACTGTGCGCGTGCGGGCTGCAGATACTCCATCTCTTCTCCATCGGAGACCAGCAACCCAGTAAGGGCAGTCCCGCGTGGAGGACCCCCAACACCCTTTCGCCCTGTCGTGCTTGGTGGCGCTCCTTTACTGCGCATTTCCAGGCCGCCCTGGACTTCGCTGAGTGCTCCCCGTTTGTATGATTGAGAAACTGAAGAGTATGGCGGGAGGAAAGGACGTGGGCTTGCGCCAAGGCCGCGCGGAAACTGAGGCGGGAGCCGCACCTCGCGCTTTCGGAAAAGGTGGGCGCAGCGTCCGGATGTTCGGACGATGGAGAAAGAGCCCGGGGTGGACCGGGGCTTCCGAGGCCTTGCCCATTAAACCCACACTTCCGCGCATCCCTACTTAACGGATAAAGAGACCGACGTGCCCAGTACGGAAGTGGCTTGCGCCGGGAGTGGGAAACAGGTTTTCCAGCGGCTTCGGGTGACGAGCGCTTCCTCTGGTATATAGGCGGGTATCCGCCCCTTTCCGGACAGCCCACTCCGGCGCCTGCCGGCTGGTTCCGACGACAGAAGCGCTAGGCCAATCAGGCCCTGCGGGAGGGGGAAACTTCGCTCTTCGGGTCCAGTTAGCCTCTAGATAAGCCTGGAATGTCAAATATTTGTTTGGGGGCGGGGCCCAACAGCGAAGTAAGGCTCCTCCCCTATCCGCCCTGGAGCGCGCGTGCGCTTGGCGGAGTTAGGCTTTCCTCCATCCAAGCCTTTGCCTCAAACCCGTGTTCACCCTCAGGGCCTCTCCTAAAACTCCTTTGGCGGCGTCCCTCTTTGTAGGGCTCCTGTCTGGGCTCCAGCTTCTACAAGACAGTCCGGCTTCACCCTCTTGCCATCTGAGCGCTAACTCGATCTCGGTCTCAGCCTTCCGGGAGCCCTCATCCATTGAACCTCTAGACCTTCACACTAGGCCCTTCCCTGTTCTTCCTTCAGCGTTGGTCTCGAGGTCAGGTGTTCAGGGAAGCCAACTTTTTGAGGTGACCTCTCCAGGGTGGCACCCCTAGCCATCCTGGCAGCGTGGGGCAACTCCGCCCGCCTCCAACCGCATGACAGTTCCCGATGATTGGACTCTTCTTGAAAAGCTAAATTCTTTAAAATAACGATAGGGCCCCTGCTTTGCTGAGCTCCTTTACTCTTCAGATGGATCCTCCCAGATCACACATATTAATACCAAACAACGCTCACTCCTTTCCCCCAACACTCAAGTAACTTCTAACACAGTAAACCCTTTATTGTCTCCCTACACCACACCCACTGGGAACTCAGGCCCTGGAGGACAGGCTCATCCCCAGTGCTTACCACACCACCTGGCTTGTAGTAGTTGCTCAAGACAATGAATGAATGAATGATTGGTTGTCAAAGTGCTTTGCTTTGCACTTTGGGTATTTCAGTACCCTTCCCTGGGGCTACGGGTCTTTTTCCTCTAGGAGTCTCATCTACGCTCTTTCCTCATCTCCCAACCCATCCCTTGTCCTGCATTTTCTCTCAAGGCATCTCCCCCTGTAGTAGGGGTCGCCACCGTAGTTTGAGATTTTTTTATTTCATTGAGCAGTGTCCCCCTTCTTAACCCAGCTACTAGGGTTCATAAATCGTTAATGAATGAATTGGAAATAACATACGTGGAAGAGGTGAACAAGGCTCCAAAGGTCCAGCTCGTAGCGTTTCCCCAAGTGTAATTCAGGTACTCACGGGGAAAGGAACTTGGTCCTGTGAGCCAGGCCACACAGTCGCCAAATCTGGCGCTCCAGCGGCGGGTACATGAAGGTTGGGGCAGATATAGGTTGGGAATCCTCATGTGAGCCTGGGAGTGTGGCGGGTCATGGGGATCTACCGGGCGTCTAGGAGTGGTGTAAAAGCGCCCTCCTCTCTCCCTCCCAGGCCAGAAAATATCCCATGGTGGAAGAGGATTCTCTGCTGGATGCCTTGTTGGATCCACTGCGGATATCCACACTCGCCGGCTCAGGGCCATCCACACCTTTGGTGGCCCCGTGGCCCATAACTCGACCTTCTGCCGCTACCCTTCCTTATCTCCTGAGCCTCCCGCGAAGCCAGCGCTCTGGGCTCCACCCAGGTTTCCCGCTAAGCGCCTTTGCCGAATCTCCGCTGAGTACCCACCAGAGGGCGCACTGACCCTGTCGCCTGAACCAGGGGCTGGGGGCTGGCAGGGGGAACTTGCACGGGAGAGCCCAACCTGGGGCAATGCTCCAGGAAAGAAGTGAAAAGGGAAGGGCCTTGAGACCGCCTCTCTCTGGTTAGAGCATCTTTACCGCTCCTGGCTTCCTGGGGACAGGCCAAGTTGGTTTGCCTTTTTTTTTTTTTTTTTTTAAAGATTTATTTATTTATTTGACGGAGAGGGAGAAGCAGGCTTCCCCCTGAGCAGGGAGCCGGATGATGCCAGCTTGATCCCAGGACACTGGGACCATGACCTGAGCGGAAGGCAGACACTCAACGACCAGCCACCCAGGGGCCCCCATAGGCCAAGTTTTTAAGCTTGGTTTTCAAGACCTCCAGCCTCTCTGTTCCACTCCCACCCACCATGTGCCCCGGACACACTGTGATTGTTCAGGTCTCCAGGCTGCTGCACATACTAAGCTCCCTACCTGGAGGCCCCACCCACCTACTCATCCCTTTGTTTTCCTGGCGAATTCCTACTTACTCTTCAAGACCCACCTCGAATAATTCCTACTCCATGTAACATTCTTTGATGCCTAAGCCAGGTTAGATAACCTGTTCTGGGGGCACCTGGGTGGCTCAGTTGATTGAGTGTCTGCATTTGGCTCAGGTTGAGATCCCAGGGTCGATCTGGGGGATCGTGGGATTGAGCCCCACAGTGGCCACCCTGCTCAGCGGGAGGCTGCTTCTCCCTCTCAGTCTACCTCCACTGTGCCTACTTGTGCTTGAGCGCTATCAAATAAATAAATAAAATTTAAAAAAAAATAAGAGATAACCTGTTTGGTCATGATTTGGTCATTGTTTGGCCTTTCGTGATTCCAGGGAGGCTCTGGCATCAGAGGAATAGGATCCTGATGAACCGGGGCTTTAGGGAAAATCAGTTGGCCTCCAGATGGGCTCAGCTCTGGCTACCAAACCAGCTCAGAAGCTGTGGTCTTGATTGCGTTGCCCTAAGCCCAGGCACCCACCTGGTCCAGACGGGAGCTCGGAACTTGTGCGAGCAAGAGGGAATGCAAAGGGCCCAGTGTCACAGAAAAAGGGCAAAAGCTGTTGGCTGGATTCTCATCTGAGGAAGGTAGCCCAACCAGCCTGTGGACCTCTCAGTCCCTGATCTCCTTCTTCAGGTCTGACAGGCACCAACCAGTACCGCATCCTGGAAGGGGGGGAATGTTAGAGAAGGGGGCATATCACTCAGTCATTCAATATATGTTCAGCACCTGCTGTGTGCCTGGGACTGTGCCAGTGGTACTTAGTAACCCAAAAGGCAGGTGCACCAGTAGCAGGCAGGTGAAGGGCTTCCTCTTGCATGGATTATATTCCACTGGGAGTCAGGTAGGGGCTGCTTCAGAGTCAGTGGTATCTGGGCTGAGGCCTAAAGGCAGAACTCAGCTGAATCCCCAAAAATGGGGGCTGCAGAGTGATCCCATGCAACAAGTGCACAGGTCCAGAGTGAGAATGAGGTTGTCCTGTTCTAGGGAGCAAGGAAGCTGTTGAAGGTGGAGATGAGCAACTGAGGAAGAGAGGAAGTGAAAGTTGTGGGAAAAGGCCAGAGTCCCCTGCAGGGTCCTCATTCACTGTGAGTGAGATGGGTATGATGCTTGCAGTAGAAGCATCGTGAGTGGGGTTAGGCGGACAGCGAGGGGCTTCATTTAATGTTTAATGGTGTCAATCTGACCCATGGAGAACAGTCCATAGGAATAAGGGCATAAACTGGGACATGAGCAGGGAGGCTACTGTAGGGATGAAAGTAGTTTGGCTTTGGAAAGGTAGACAGGCAAGACTTGGAGGAACTCTCAACCTGGTTGTGGGGTTGAGAATTAGAATAGTATCTAGAATCCAGGATGTGCCC